TTATGCAAGGACCTAACAACACTTTCCTTTTTTTTCTGGTGCTATAGTTGTTATATATTTTACGTGCATATATGTTAATAGCCCTACAAGAGACTTATCTTATAATGCTTGCTGCCTGAAAGTCTACTTGGTTGATATTAAAATAGCTAAAATAGCCCTGGCCAGTGTGGCTCAGTTGATTGGAGCATTGTCCTGTATACCAAAAGGTGGTGGGTTCAGTTCTTGGTCAGGTCACATACCCAGGTTCAGGTTTGATCCCTAGTCGATATCTCTCTCTGCCCCCTCTCCCTCCATCCCTCCTTCTCCCTTTCTCTCTAAAAATCAATAAAAAATATTTTTAAAAATAGCTAAAATAATTTCCTTTGGTTAGTGTTTACCTGTGTATCTTTTTCTATCCCTTTATTTCAATCTTTCTGTCTATTCTTATATTTAAGGTGTATCTCTTAGAAGCAATATATATGTATAAAAATTTTGGGGGGAGATCTTTGTATTTTAATTGATACAGTTAGTCTATTTAAATTTAATGTAATTACACATATATTTGGATGTGAATCTACTCTTTACTTTCTGTTGTCCCACATGTTTTCTCCTCCTTTTATCTCACTTCTTGACTTCAGGATTATTTTCTATTATTATGTTTTTCCTATCAATATGTTTTACCTTCTATTACCATTCTATTGCAGTTAGCCTGGAGATTTCACCATGCATACTTGACTTATGAAAGTCTATTAGAAAATACTACTTATGATCATTTCTCAGGCAATGCAAAGGCTGCAAAATGCTTGAATGAGCTACATTTAACAGCTTCCCAACTTTTGTTTCCATATTTTAAACTCTATATGTGTTAAAAACACCACGAGACATTAATTATCCGTTACAATCAATTTTCATTTAGATTTGTCTAAAAAATTAGTCTTTTTTTTGTACTTAATTTCTTCCACCCCACTTTCTTTGTGCTTTTACTTTGTATTATTATTCCTGTTTCTGAAGAATAGCCTTTGGTATTTTTATTAGTGCAGGTCTTGCTGGTGGTGAATTTGCTTATCCTTATTTATCTAAAACTATTAGTTTAAATATTTTAAAATTGGTTTTAGAGAGGAAGGGAAAGAGAGAAACATTGATGTGAGAGAGAAAATTGATTGGCTGCCTCTCACTTGTACCCGACCAGGGGTCGAACCCACAACCCGGGTGTGTGTTCTGACCAGGAATTGAAAGCCACCTTTTGGTGTATGGATGACACTCTAATGAACTGAGCCACATTGGCCAGAGCCTAATTTTTTTTTTTTTTATCCTCACCTGAGGACATTTTTTTCCATTTTTTTATTCAGATAGAGTGGGAGAGGGAGAGAGAGAGAGAGAAACATCGATGTGAAAGGGACACATCGTTGCCACCTGCATGACCCAACCAGGGCCATGGACAAACTGCAACCGAGGTACATACCCTTAGCGGGAACCGAACCCAGGTCTCTCTGGACTGCAGGCCGACGCTCTAACCGCTGAGCAAAACTGGCCAGGGCGGCCAGGGCCTATTTTATTTCACCTTCAGTTTTGAACGATTGGATACAGTGTTTTGAGTCAACATATATTTCCTTTCAGCACATTGAAGGTAATCTGTTCATTATCTTGGGCTTCCATTGTTGTTCTTGAAAAGAGTGCTGTCATTCTAACTGCCACTTATTGGAAGGTAATCTGTCCTTTTTCCTCCTTGTTTTTAAATTTTTCTGTTGTCCTTATTCCCTTTTATTTAATGCATCTTGTTGTGGACATTGATGATTTTAATGTAATTTATGGATATTATTTGGAATTATTAAATCTGTGGATTATTGGCTTTAACATTTTGAAAAAATTCTTACCTAATCTTAAAATATATTGCTTTTTTTCCATTCTCTTATCTTCACTTTCTGAATTCTGATTAAATGTATAATAAACTTTCTTACATTATTTTCCGTTTCGTAATCTTCTGTTTTTCATCACTTTATCTTTTTAGGCACATTCTAGGTAACATTTTTCTGATCAGTCTTTTAATTCACTAATTTCTTGTTTTATCCTATCAGCTATCAAGCACATACATTGAGATTTTAATTTTGGATATTTGCTTTTTCATTTCTAGAAATTCTTTTTCTGTTTTAAGAATCTATAATTTATTTTATAGATGAGATATATATGTTTTCATGTTTTTTGTTTAGTCTTTAATCATTATAAGGATACTTGTTTTACATTTGCCTAATACTTTCATTATATGTGTATATATTGGCATCTTTTTCTGCTTGTTTTTATTCATGCTGCCTCATTTTCTTTGTGCCTGATTATTTTTGCCTGTATATTTATTATTGCCCTTGAATAATATTTATGTAGACTTTCCCATGGCCTGGGATGAAGGTATCCTTCTCCAGATATTATGTTTTATTTGACTTTTGCCAAGTGTGTGTGCACTGTGAATGGGAAAAACACTTCTATTTCTCTTTTACTCACATACTACTATCACACTCACAACTTCCTACATCACTTCTGACATCAGATGTGGGGGTTTTCTACACCAAGCAATTCTCCAGTACCATTGGAGTGTCCTGAAATTCAATTTAATTTTGACACTACTGCAGTTAGTATGACCCCACAAGTTAAGGGTTCAGTCTCATAAGACTGCCCCTCCACTACTTTAGATGCCAATGGTAAGCCCAGGTTTTCACCTGTGCTTCCGACTGACTGGCTATAAATTAGAGGTTCCAATGACCCCTTTTTTGGGTATGATTAATTTGCTAGAGTGGCTCACAGACCTCTGGAAAACAGTTTACTTACTAGACTACCATTGTATTACAAAAGATATTAAAGGATATGAATGAACAGCCAGAATTAGAGATACATAGGGCAAGATCTGGAAGGGTCCTGAGTGCAGGAGCTTCTGTCCTCATGGAGTTGGGATGTATCACCTTCCACACATAGATGTATTATCACCCAGAAGCTCTGCAAGCTGTGTACTTTGGGAATTTTTGTGGAGATTTCATCAGGTAGGCATGATTGTTTGTTAATTCAATACCCAGCCCCTTTCTCCTTCCCAGAAGGTGAGGTAAGGCTGAGATGAGAGTTTCAAGCTTTTAGTCATGGCTTTGTCTTTCTGGTGACCCATTCCCATCCTGAAGCCATTCAGAACCACCAAGAGTTGCCTCATCAGAATAAAAGACATTCATATCATCCTGGAAATTCCAAGGGACTTAGGAGCTTTCATTGAGGAACTGGGGTCAAAGACTGGATGTTAGAATAAAAGGTGATCATAGCGCTCTTATCATTTAGGAAATTATAAAGGTTTTAACGAGCTCTGTGCCAGGAATCGGGATAGAGACTATATATTTTATTTCACACACTATTAATCAGAATCTCCTTAAACTTACTTACAAATTTATTATTCCCTGACCTACCCAAGCCACATGCTTGCAAATCTATGCAAAAGCCCCAGTCAACCCCAAACTTCTCAGAGATAGTTTTTTTCTTTCCAATTTTCCCCATCCCTCTTTTCTTCCTCCTCTTTCTTTTTTTCTCCTCCTGTTACACCATAATGTGAAATAATCTTGCCTGAGTGCATTTGGTATTGGGATAGAGAGTAGGTGTAGACTTGTGTAGTTCTGGTTCAACCCTACAGTGTATGTATTAGCCCTTTCAATCCCCAGCTTATTCTGGAAAGTGTCTCTAATAGAATTCCCACTTTTAATGGGCTCTGGGCTTGACCAGGTCTCTTCTTGATGCCATTTAACTAAATTAATTTGTGATAGTGTTGGAAAATGTTTGCAGTATGAGTAATAGATTTAGGCCTCAGTTTGCTCCCAGAATCTAGCTTGGAACTTTTTATAAGGTTTTAAATGCTTTTAAGGTGGTGTTTTTTTTTTTCACATTTTAATCTAACATTTTTAGTAACATTGTATAGTAGAATTATTCAGAATAATTTCATCTGCAAATTGTGGTAATCTCTTCAGTGTTATATTCTGGTTTGTAATTTCTCCTTTATCAGCTGAATCTAATTGACTGTTTAAATCTGTATATTTTTTCATATTTTTAATAGTTGTGCTTGTTTACTGTTAGAAGCTCTATTTGGTTCTTCTAGTCTTCTTGATCACTTTTGTTCCTTAGTTATATTTTCAGTATTGTTCTTTTATTTCTATGAGCATACATATGTTTTATATTCTATATCTGATTATTCCAGTATTTGAGGTCTTTCTAGGTTTAAGTTGAATTATGCTTACGGATATTTTCAAAGTTTTATTTTTGGTGGTTTATTTCTCATGTGTTTTGTAAATTTTTTTTTAAACTATGGACTCATGTTAATTGTAACACACACATTCTCTGAAGCTGGTAAGTTAAGGTGGTTTTTTTCCCCGTGAGTATTTGCATTTGTGTTTTATGAGTTTTTGAAGCAGTGGGACACTGAGATAATTTTTGGGTTTTCTTTTTAAGGCCATTCAGGTGATATGAATTTTTTTCTAAACCTGTCTAAAAGCCCTTCTTGGTCATGTATTATCTAGAGAGACTTTTTCTCCCTTACATATAAATCTTAGGCTGAGACTTACAATTTCCATGTTTCTTTGCATATAGCACCCTTTCTGGTTTTCCCTTTTACTGGTTATGTCACCCCTTGTGGTTCCTTTCTTTTATTGTGGATAATCTCCAGTATGTTTCCTTGTGCTGCTTTGTCCGCAAGTTTCATCTCTTGTCCCTTATGCGCAGAGACCTTCAGACCCAAAGTTGGTGGTAATAAGCATTAGCAGATATCTCTGGGTAGCAACTACCTTTAGGTCTCACTTATTTCTCTGGATTTGACCTTATTCTTACTTCTCTAACCTTAGGCTATTTTTTTTATTTTCCTACCACTTCAGCATACAGTGAAAATACTTTTTTAAACCTTTTATCTTAACATTCTTAAGGATTTTGTCCTGAGAAGGCTATTCTGAATGTCTTGTCTGTCCCATTGCCCTAATATTTATCAAATGTCATTTTTAATATTTCTTTTATAGGATTCAGTTTAGCTGCATTTAAAAGAAACAAGAGGAAACTAGAGCTGGCAGAAAGGGTGGAAACAGATTTCATTCAACTAAAGAAAAGAAGACAATCAAATGAAAAGGTCAGGAGGTATTTGAAATATTAATTATTGTATCATAATGATATCTTTAATTTTCATTTAGATATATAAGCTTTAAAATAGTGTGTTCCAGTAACAATGTAGTGCATGCCACATACATACTTTAAAATTTTTCAATACTTACATTAAGTAAAAAGAAACAGGTGAAATGAATTTTAATAATTTATTTTAAGCAGTGAATCTAAAATATCACTTAAAAATGTAACCAATGAAAAAATTATTAGTGAGCTATTAAACTTTCTTTTTGTATTAAGTCTTCCAAGCCAGTGTGTATTTTACTCTTCCAGCATATCTTAATTATGACACTGAATTTCATTGTAAATATTGGGTTTTTATTTGTATTTCATAAAAATAACAGTTGAAAAAGTAGTTTACATAACAAGTAATTCCAAACATACTTAAAACTTCTTAAAACTTTTCAATAATTGAGTTGAATATGTTTTAAAATTAAAATGAATTAAAATTTAATACAATTAAAAATTCAGTAGCTCACTTGACCTCACCACATTTTAAGTGTTCAATAGCGACATATGGTTGATGGCTACTGATTTAGACATTACAGCTTTACATAATGATTCTTAATCTGGCTATTCAGGGAGTAGAGTATGTTATAAAAAAATGTATATATTGTATTCATGTAGGTTTTTAAAATACATTCTAATTACAGGTCTGTGTTTCTCTTTGTTACACATTCTTTGTTTGCATTTCATGCATTAGTGTACCATCATGAGTCCATGTGTAGCCATTTCTTAGGTGTTTAGGGGTAGAAAGAAGTTGAAAACCATAACATTCTTGCTCAGTCTATGGCTGGGGGAGGTTCATTAGCACAGAGTTCATGATGGGTTTCTCACGTCCCATACATTTGATGTGCTTTGGCATATCATTAATACTGGTTCATGCTTTCTATCATAGTTTTCTATGATTTACTGATATATAAATGCATAATAAATCATCTTTCAAAGTGACAGATATTTTTCCAGTGTGCTTCCACATTGGACAATTAATGAACCATTTTGTTTCAAATCCTTTTATTTTTCTGCCAGAGAAAAGTAGGAATTTAGTAGGAAAATGAACATAATAAGTAGATCTTGGTGAAAGTGGATAACAGTATGGTTCTGTTTCTTGGATTTTTGCATCCCCTATGATGTCTGAGTGAGAAAATTTAGGACTTTTATTTCTTTAAAATTTTGCATATGTTGAGCAATTTAATCATTTCTATAAATGTATATACTCATGTAACTCCTACACCTATCATGATGTAGAACATTCTGGTCCCTTTATACTTCCTTCCAGCCAGTCGTAACTTCCCTTCTTCTATTCTTGCTTCCTCTTTAAATCCATCCTTCACATAGCAGGCCAAGAGAACACTGTAAAATCTGAATGAGATAACATTGCATCTTTGGTTTTAACTCCTCCATGGCTACTCATTTATGATGTGATATAGAGTAACTTAGATGTTAGAGATGGAAGGAAGTCTCAAAGAAAAAGTCCTTCTGTTAGAATTAGCAATAGAAGTCTCCCTGAGGGAGTATAACATTTGAGGTGACATCTGAAAAATAAGAAGTGTGCTTATGCAGAGTCAGTGTAATAGTGTTCCAGGCAGAGTGAAGTGCATGTGCAGTGGGGATTTACCTATTAGAAGAATGGGGAAGAGGACCAGTGTGCCTGAAGCAGAGTGGGCAAGGGGAGAATGGTATGAGATAAAGATGGAGAGGTAGGTAGGTGCTAGCTCCTTTAAGATTTGATAGATCATGGCAAGATAGATATCAACTGGGAGATGATGTCAACTTGGACTGTGGGTGATGGGGATGGAGATGGAGAGAGGTGAACATATCAAAAAAATATTTTGAGAGTTCCTGAAATACAGGAATTATTGATGCCTTAGATATTGATAAGGAAGAGAGAGAAATGAAAGCTTTAACTTTAGCAATTGTTTTCATTTATTGGCATGAGGAGGACTGGAGAAGGTATGGCTTCATGATGATAGAGGGAGAAGTGAAGATCAAGAACTTTCTTAGCCCATATTCCCTTAGTGGACTTGAAATACCAGTGCTGCCATTTGCACTGTAAAATATGTTAACCTGATGTCAATAATACCCTAAATACCCAAGCTAATAGACCATCTTTTAGTGTGCCATGTGCCTTTACTCCTTTCAGTTTAATTATATGCCACCTAAGGCCTCATTATGCTCATTATTTTATCATTGTAATTGCATAATTCATTGTCTCATATACACTAATTAGTATTGAGTTTAAAATAGTTATCTGTTTAAAAACTAAGAGAGGTGTTTGTTTGAAAACTAATTTGACAAAATAGAGTTGATTCATGAAAAAATTGCTATAGAATTAAGTATGAGCAAGCCAGCTGTAAATGATTGAAAAAAGTCATAAAAATCTAGAGACATTCTGCATTCAGAGTGCATGTTAATATCTTTATGTGCTTGATCTTTGTTAGATAAAATGAAACTTGAAATCATAGGACATTTCAGCAGTGTGTTGTAGATTATGCAAGAAAGATGATATGGAATGTTTATTTGTGGGCCCACATTCAAAGAAAAGGCTTTTGTCTCATATGAAAAGATTGGCTAACGAATGAATGTTTGTGTTTTAAATAAAAGAAAATATTTAAGGTATGTGTCTTTATTTATTTTCTGTTTCACCCAGAGAATTTTCAACTATTGAAAATTTCAACTAGTTACTCATCATACTGGTTAAGAGGATTTCCCCTGAAAAGCTTGATATGGCCCTGGCCAGTTTGACTCAATGGTTAGAGTGTTGGCCTGCAGACCAATGAGTTGTGGGTTTGATTTCGGTCAAGGACACGTACCTTGGTTTTGATTTGTCCCCAGCCCTGGCTGGGGTTATGTGGGAGGCAGCCATTTGATGTGTCCCTTTCATGTTGATGTTTCTCTCTCTCTCTCTCTCTTCCTCTCTCTCCCTCCCACTCTATCTGAACAAAAATGGAAAAATGTCCTCAGGTGAGCATTAAAAAAAAAAAGCTTGATGTGGCAAGAGGAAAGATTAACTGTGGAGTTTGTTATGTGAGTCTGATGCTTATGGGTAGGTCAGGAGGGAGATTCCCATTTGGAAGTTAGTGGCATCAAAAGGAATATAAATACATGTGGCTGGATGAGCTCACTTAGGAGTGAGAGTAGATGAGGTCTGAAAACTGAACCTTAGGCCAGCTCAATTTGTATAAGTTGGGATGAGAAACTAGCAAAGGAGAAAGAAGACAGCTGGTGAGGCAGAGGTATAAGCAGAAGAGTGTCTACTAGGAAGCCAAGAGAGGAGTGTTTCAGTCAGTCATCACCTGGTTCAAGAGCTGCTGAGAAAACATCTAAGAGGGCAGAGAACTGGCCATTGAATTTAGTACCTGGAGACTCTGGACCTGGATAAGGACAGTTTTTGTGACATAGTGGATTGTAGGCCAGTGTGAGGTGGGTTGGTCAGGGAGAAGAAGGGTAGAGATAACTCTTTTGAGAAATTCTGACATGGATTGGTGATAGAGAGAGAAAGAGACAGAGAGAGAGAAGTAAGTGGTCAAGAGACCGAACCATTGTCAGTTACTTCTGTGAGTTTAGTGAGTAATTAACATATGAAGTTTCAATTTGCTTACTTTGGAGTGCAAATAGTGATATTTTGCTCTCTAGCAGGGCTTTTATAAGGAACAAAAGTGATAATGGATGTTCAAGGGTTTAGTGGCTATCATTGACTTAGTCAGACACCATAGTCATTGCTATTGTATAACCTTTATCTTTAGAGTCACTCAGACTAAAAGAAAGAAAATCGCTGTCTAGTTATTTACCCTGGGTGGAATCTTGTGACGGAGGTAGGTAGAGGTGGGTAGAAAGGTTAAATTCAGGCATGATTCAAATGGAGTTGTTGGCGGTGAAATGGCCCCACGTGTTAGACCGGTAGAGTCAGACCAGACCTTGGCTCAGCAACCTCAGTATTTGAGTTCTAGCTAGGAAAGTATTCAGAACCATGACTCAAACTATAAGAGAAAGTTTATTTAGAAAGTCACAGAGTTGGAAGAAGTAAGTGGTAGAAGAAATGGCCTCAGGAAACAAGTTACAGAGGCAAGGAAGGACCCTTGGAGCTCAAGAGAGATGAATCTTTTCACCTGGGGCACGAAGAGGGGTAGAGGAAAGGCATGAGCATGCTCCCAGGAGGATTGTTGCACTGGGTCTTCCAGTCTTGAGGGTGTTTATCTGGAAGTCTCAGGGGAGGATGCCAGTAGAATATTCATCAGCTTTCCAGGTGTGTCCTTTCAGTATTGTGGTCTTCAGTGATTGGTCAGTGCCAGAGAAAGGGGTCATTAGTCAGTGCAGCTGGACCTGATGTCAGCCGTGACATTGCTCTTCTGGTTTTGCTGCTTTTCTGAACCTGGAGCTGAAACAGACTGAGGCTTAGACGTTATGCCTTAGGGTTAATGCTTAAGGGAGTGGTTTGTGCAAGGGCCTCTTGTTCCTCCTCCCAGGAGTGGAACGGTCAGGGGACAAGGTCCAAATTGCATGACCAGTGATACGCTAGGGGAGGAAAAGTTACCCTGGGTATGAGGTCCTCGTCTTCCCAGTTTTGCCCCTTGCTAGACACCTGGGGCTTTCTGCCCTGGTGACCTTCTATACCTGGTCCATCATTCTTGCTCTGCTCATGTCTGTCTGCCTGCTGCAGAATATTTTAGATGTCTTAGTGAAAGAAAATTATTTTTAATATTTAGAATATGTGAAGTGTAATGCATATAAAACTACGTGTGTGACATTAGCCTACAAAAATGACTAGGATCTAGCCTCTGCCTTTAGGGAAGGATGCTGGCCAGAGGCTTTGTTTTATGGGTATAGATAGAACCTTGGCAGACCTTTGTCTCTTATAGTAAAGATAATAAAACATGCTCCCAGAAAGAAAAGACCACCAGATAATGAACCAATTGGGCAAAAATGACAGAAAAGGACAAATAGCTATTTTTGAAATCAACCTGTATT